CTCCCCCTACAGGAGTAGCCTCCATCAGCAGCAGGAGGAGCAGGACTCACTGTGCTTCTCCCCGACCTCAGCAGACAAGCCTGTGCACACATGACATCCACAAGGAAATTCACACCAGATCAGACTCATCTCTCTGGTAGGATTTCTCTTACTTGAAACCTTCCTACCATCCTCCCACCCCGAGGCAGATCATTTCCTGCTGCTGGAGCCTTCCTTCTGTTTCCCTAAGACAAGTCCATCTCCCCAACCACACGTCAGTATCTTCCAGCTGCCTAACCAACCAAACCCAGTCCTTGCCCAGAGAGCACAGGCCTTCACTGCTGCACTGCTCTACTTAATGACCAGGGCTCCTAGGCTTTAATAACTGGGTCAAGTTGAAATAACACCCTAGGGACACTGGGCTCTGGGCCAGGTGACAGAGATGTGGGTCCCTCAGCATTCAGTCACCAACACAATGCGCAGAAGAGTGAGAGGATTAAGGACTACCCAAAGGACACAGAATCAAAACTGGAGACAGTCCACCAACTCACTACTTTTTCAAGCCTCCAGACCAGCAACTGGGGATCCTTTGGAAATAATTTTCACTGCCCTTCTAGGAGGCCTATCTCACTATAAGGCCATAATAATAAGGGCTAATATTGATTGTGTGCTTACTGTGAACCCGGCACTGCTCTGTGTGACTGTAAAAGCGTTAACATTAAATGCTCAAGGAAATTTGAAGAGTTAACTTCTATATTACTTTTATCACCTAGCTTTGAAAATGAGGAAACTAGGGCTCAGGAAGGTTAAGTAACTTCTCCAGGGTGAACTGGTAGTCCTCGGCTGGAGCTGGAACTGAAACCAAAGCTAAAATGTTTCTGTAGACTATGTAGCACATTGATATCTCCTGATTGATTTAACACACACACAGAGGCCCTTAGATCTCAACCAGGCACTGTGCCAGACCCTGGAGATACAAATATACCCAGAAACATTTCACTTTTTTCCCAGCTAACAGGGTAGAAAAGGAGACAGATATGTAGGAGAAATAGATATTGACACATTTTATAAGCAGCATGAACAGAAGTGTAATGGAAGAGGTTACCAGCTCTGCAAAGTGGCAGGGAGTTATGGGAAAGAGGAAAAGGAGGGTTGAGAAAGGCTGCTTGGAGGAGGTAAAATTTGGCCTTGAAGGATGAGTTTGAGTTCTTTGGGTTGAAGAGAGAAGAAGAAAACATGGGGAAGGACATATGAAGCAGAGGGAACAGCTTGATTAAAGCACAGAAGCCAGAGAGCAGAATAGTCCCAGCATGGAAAGTGCCTGACCAGGGCATGGAAGTCACATTAGCCAGAAGTGTTAAAAATAAAAGAACTTCATTTAAAAAACCAACCAACCAACCAAACACAAAACCCCCCAAACCCCATATATTAAGAGACACTAAGAAGAGAGAGAATACTCATCATGTACTGCAACTAGCTTGATGATTGATAAGCCAAAAATTGGAACTTAGTGACTATAAACATGCCTGGTATATCAGATAAGTGTTAGGGTTAGTTTGATAGTTTAGCTCATAGATTTTCAGTTCACTGGACAGCCCTTTATGCTGGTACTTTGCCAGACACTCATGGAAGACAGAGTTCCTGTCCTTGAGTGGTTTATTTATCATTCATTCATTCATCTTTTTAACACCCATTTGTGGATGACCTACTACGCACCAGGCAGTGGGGGTAGCAGTGAACACGACTCATGTGGTCTCCCCTCACTGTGCTTACAGTCTAGGAAAGAGTCACTATTGAACAGGAAGACAGCCACACAAATGGGTACTTTCAATATAATAAGGTAACTGATACACACCAAACAAGACTAAAACACAGAGAAGGGGACTTTAATAGCGAGATTATCCTGGGCTTTGGTCTACTGTGGGATCCTCTGATGTAGGCCGACTTATGTAGAAAGGTGCATCCAGCTCAGCACAAAGCACAGGCCATGCAGAGTAGGTTCTGAGCTAACTCTCGGGAGTATCAGGAGATAATGCACGGCACTGCATGGCACACCAACATGGGCAAAAAGAAATGTCTAGCTGAATGAAAATTACAGTGAGGATATCCCTGTATCACTATAAAATTTTAGGCAATTATCAATATGGACTATGGAGAAGGATGTAAATACAGTTTGGGGAGGAAGATAAAAGCAGATGTACTGTTAAGATGAAAGTGAAAGAAAGGGGAGTTGGCCATGAATTGAGAAGTTGTGAACATTTCCACTGGCCTTGGAGTCAGACCAGCCACAATCCCCTCCCTGAGCTTGTGAGCAAGCTTCACTTTCCTCATCTATAAAGGATAATGACAATGCTAGAAGGTATCAATTGTTCTGCGGTTGTAAATGTATCCATCTGTAAAGAGGAAACAATAACATCTTTAATGTTATAGAGTGAAAAGAAAAAGTAGGAAAAAGAGGCCAAGGGAAGTAGATACAAACGAGGGAGACAGAGAGAGAAGTATCACACAGAACCATAGGCCAAAAGCTCATTATCTTTCTTACCTTTGTTTCCTTTGTTTCCTCATCCCTAACGTGAAAATCATAATGCCTATGCCAAGGCTGTTATGGAGATTAACTTAGGTAATATACCTAATGTGTATTACCTCTGTTCAAAATGTTCTAAAATGCATTACTCCCTTGGCTTCCACCCAAGAAAACCCCTCATGTAAAGATGAGCTCAAAATCCAAGTAAAAATGCTTACAAATGTTCAAAAAGAAACACAAATGTGAGATGGTTAGATACTAGAGAAGGGAGCCCAAGGTTATCTCAGAGAGAAGGTCATCAAACCTAGGCAGGTTGCTTTGGATTGTCTCTTCTGGTGCAGGCCTCCTCCTGCCCCATCATCAAAACACATCCCAGCTAGATTCCCAAGGACAGAGGTGATCACTCAGGTGGCCTGTCATTCACTTGACTTAAATCTATTCCATTTTCTGCACAATGCCATTTTAAGCACACAGCCTCAGCAGCTCCCAGGATAAAACCGGACATCACTGATCTGTACCTCTGAAGGTTGGGGACAGTCCTTCCCAGTCACTCTTCAGCTTTAGGGGGGTTGGTTGATCTCAGGGACAGCTGACAGCCTTATTTAGCCAACCAGCTGCTCGGTGATACACAATGTCCCGAATGCTCAAAGTCTGATGGATGATTCTTTTGTATCCATAGAAGCAGCAGTTGGAGGAGAATCCATTAGTCCCTTTGGTAGCCTCAGGGTGTCAATGAGGCTGCCGTTCTAATCATTACCACCATAATTATTAACCATTGTTTTAGTGAGATATCTGCCAGGCAATTGTTTTTTCTTTCTTTCTTTTTTGAATCATTAAAAAACAATCAAATTTCACTGAAGCAACGCTTGCCTCAAGTCACATCAACACATTTATTAAACTCCTTCTGTTTGCCCAGTTCAACAGGAAGTCTTGCAGAAGGACATACTTCAAATATTCTTCCTGTTTTTTAAAAAAAAAATGATAATGCTGTGGAGAAGAGGTTTACACAACATAAATTATACGGAAAAGTTGCATGGTATATGTAACTGCTACAGAGGGTCAGAGAGTGGCATTTTTGTCCCCTGGATTTCATTTCTATGGGGATACAATGGAGGAGACGCCATGGGTAGATGATTTGGAGGAGAATATTGTGGTGGGAAATTGCTTTCTTTTCCAGCAAGTAGGAGAAAAACAACCAAGAGAGCGGACAGGATATGCACCCCCATTAGAGTAGCCAGCCACCGGAGCGTGACTTTTTGACAAGCGTTTTCATCATTTAGTATAAATGTTAAAGGAGTTCTAAAAGGGTTTTTGCTTCAAGATGAAGTGTGATTCACTGAGATTCTCAAAGGCCTTGTTCATATTGTGGCTTGAAGCCACACTTTGAACCCATTTTCCAAGCATGCTAAACCCAAATAGCATAGAGGAATGCACATGGCTAGGTCACAGACCAGGCTCAATGCACTACAGGAACCGATGTCTTGGATTCCTCTTCTAACATCTGCGACCGTACCTGATCGCCCCTGGGGTTTCAGCGCTAACCACATCTCAAAGTGTTTATTTACCACCACGAGTGGAACTTGTGATACCAAAAGGTTAGAACAGCCTAGCTGCCCAACATCAGCACAGTTGCGAAAGCTTGATCTTATTTTTCGGGGGGGGGCAGATGGGTAGATAACTAGATTTATTTGTTTACTTGTTTATTTAATGGAGGTACTGGGGATTGAACCCAGGGACCTCGTGCATGCTAAGCACACACTCTAGCACTGAGCAGTCCTGTTCAGAGGTTGAAAACAGTACCAACAAGGCGACAGAGAAAGCCGAGAACCTGGGAGCCGTTGGGGGAAACAAAAGCAGATGGAGGCAGGTGAACGGAGGAGGGCGCGGGAGTCCAAGAAGGACGAGTGTACGTTCCCTGCGGACAGGCACTCGCCACCGCCCTGCCCGCGGCGGGGCGCCCTCGAGCTCGCTGCCGGCATGGGAAGCGTGGAGACGCCCCCAGGCGGTGTGCACTTCGGCGGCAGCGGCGGAGCTTAGGGGAAAATGGGCAGAGGTGAGAGGCGTGGAGGCGTCGGGGTCGAAGCGCGCGGGAGGACGTCTGATGCCGAGAGGGGCGAGAGATCAGGGGCTGGTGCGGGGCCGGGGCTCCGAGGTCGGGGTGAGCAGCACCTTGAGAGAGTTCTTGAAGCGTGGGGGTGGGAGCGAAAGCTGGAGGGTACCAGCGGAGAGGACGGTGGGGCCCAGGGCGGTGCGAGAGGTAAAAAGGGAACTGCAGACTGGGACGGGTGCATTGAGGTCCCCGGTGAGCGTGGGAGCAACACGCTCAGCCTCCGGTGGGGGCAGGGACACTGACGCGGGGCGGAAGACGGGGCGGCAGGGCGTGACCGGGAAGCCCGGGTGCGCGCCACCGCCCGGCAGCGGCGGGAGCGGGAACTTGAAGCCGTGAGTCGGAAGGGCGCCGCCGCGTCAAC